GCCCAGGCGCCGCCTCCTGCCGCGGCGGCGGAGGTGGCCGAGCCACCGCGATCTCCGGCCAGCACGGTTACGTCATCGTTGACGTCATCCCCTCTGTCGGCCGCCGTCGCGGACGACGCCTTCACCGACCTCCCCGATCTCTTGCTCGATGACGTGGCCCACAAGATCGACGGTTTCTGGGATTCGCTGTCGTACGAAGAACCCTTTTTCTTGGAGAATTATTAAGAAAGAGAGATGGGTTCAGCTCGGTCGGTTCCCAGCTTCTGTCGCCGGAGAACAGGGATCCAGGCGGAGCTTTGCGGCGGAGACATTGCCGGCGAAAGGATTCCGATCGGAAAAGGTGTAGCCTTTTTTGTGGGTTTGGTGGGAAAATCTGTGTACGTGTGCCAAAGGTTCCATTGTGTGATGTGTAAGTAAAGGTTTTTTGTACAAATACGATTTATGTGACAAAGTCCCATGTTTGCTTATGTTATTGCCCAAAACCATTTTTTTTTTGCCCATTAAATTTATTCATGGTTTTGTTTCTCAAATTCACAATTTTTCTTTCCCCAAAATTTATTTTGCCCAAATTTCTACACACCCTTTTTGCTCCATATATATGTGGAAAGGAAATGTTACGCAATTTGAAGCAAACGATTATTACACTTAATTTTAATCCCAAAATATTTCTCATCTGAACTATACTTTATTTACCCGGATATAAATAAAATGACCGTTTATCTCTAATATTTTATGATATTTATAATAACAATAAATAAATATACTTTTCGATAAAATTATCAAAATACCCTTAAAATTCACAAAAGTCAACGGTTTTTCCGAGATTTGACGGGTTTGAATACCTTCGGATAATTGAATTTAGCGTCGGATATCCGAACCGTAGATACCGAAAACAAGATAATACTTTTCTAAAACCCGTGAAAACGAAACCGAAGTCAAAACCAAAAATAGACACCTCAAAAGAAAAAAAATCGGAGCAACCCATTATCCCACCCCCACAATAAGTTACATAAAGAGGATATATAATAAATAAGCTCAATGACATTTTTTACTCCTGTGAAAATTTGTATAACGGCACACATATTGTGAATTTGTGGTCTGATTTGGGGATTAGGGTTTTAAGTCCATTCAAGAGAGTCCAGAAAGCCAAGGCAATTGAAATCATTGTTAGAAAATAAAGGAAGAAAAAAAAGGGGGGTAAATTGCACAAGAGACAAACTTTGTGGTCTTTTCTGTCATTTTCAATTTTCCTCTTTTACTCGGCCCTTCGACCTCATTGGTCCTTAAAAAGTTGGGAATGAAAGGACCCGTCGGGCCATTATTTATAGAGAAATTTAATGTATTTTTAGTTAGGACTGATTTTCATTCTCATGTTCATTCTTTGTTCTTTTCGGTTATACTTATTTAATTTTGTTTCTATATGAAAAAGACTCCGTACTATATATAACAAACGCAATAGATTTTTCCTTTCCTTAATAGAAATACAATAATAATTGTTTATTTGATAAAATAATCATATATATATATATATATATTCATCAACCGTTTATAATATATATATATATATATATATATATATATATATATATATAATAGACTATACTAATACGGTAGATAAAATATTTTCGCGTTGAATTTCCATTATGAATTTACCAGATTGTCATTATTCCCGAAATTAATTAATTAATTTCATCATAATTAATTAAAGTGGATGTGAGCTGGCTTTTTATTGTATCCTCTTTGTCCCCTTTCTAATCACAATTTTCTTGGTTGTAAGAGTTACGGCCGTCTAATCTCTTTACACGTACATTTTCGTTTGGAATAATATTTGAAAAATATAAAAATCTTCCATTAAATCATAGAAAAAATTATCGCAACGTGGATAACTTAAGCTGATTTATACACTAAAATATATTATTTATTATATTATTAATAACCCTAGTTAGGTTTGTTATTTATTATTTATTAAATTATGGTTTAATAACCCTAGTTAGGTTTGTTACTTAGGACCGCTGCTTATAAAATTTTCACCAAAATGATTTTATTTCACTTTTAATAGGACATCAACACATCCTATTTGATTTGTTTATAATATTTACATAGTATACGATTTCATAGTTGGTTATAAAACAATGCAAAAGTATAATGCCGATTGATTTGATATTTTTTTTTATGATTATCCAATATATATAGTTCTTCATAAACTATTTATATAATCACCATTGTAACATCTAGTTGTGTATTTCTGTTTATAATTTCGTCACGTTTACAAATATTAATTATGAATTTCCAAAAAATATTTGATTTTAAAAAGTAGTAAAGAAATTCATATAGACAGATTTAAATTAATGATAATTTTTTTATGATTGGAAAGTTTACAAGATTTTCGATCTAATTACCTCTCCCAAAAAATTGACCGTCACTTAAGGTATCCCTTCCAAATAGAAATCCTCCCACAAATAGAATTCAATGGTACTTGATCATGTATTCTTAATATTATTGAAATTATTTTTAATTATTTCAATTAAATTATTTTTGTAAACTTAAACAAATTTTTAAACCCAAATGATTATAAGTTTTAAAAAGATTTTGAAAAATATGTGTGGTGCATGTCATAACGGGTCCAAATCAACATCATTGTCAAATAATAACGACGACGATTGAGGTTTACTTCATTCCATGTGAATATTTTTGGATGTCACAATTAACGAACTTTATTTTTATTTAAATAATTGATTAGACAACTAAATGATCTTAATTTTATCATGCATCTAGAAGATAGCCTCCTATGTGCATGTCGGCTATGGTTAAAAACTAGGGTTTTATACCAATGATAAATAAGAAAATTAACTACTTAAGATCTGAGTAGCAAGTAAATTAAATTTTCTGAAACGTTAAATGTATGATTTTATTTGTCGTCGCCAATTATCAATGTATTGTGATCTCATACATACATACATATATATATATATATATATATATATATATGATTTGATTCAAAATAGACATATAGCTGAATACTTGTACAGGAATATAAAACTTTATAAGCAAACCAATAAAATATAATTATATTCATTATAGAGATTCACTTCTATAGTTTGAGAAGAGAAAACGTCTAGAATTATTTAAATAAACGGGCATTAAATTTAAGATTATATATAATATAAAAACAATTACGTGCCATGCGTAATGATGACGTAGACGAGATCGAGATGGAGAATCCTATGAGTTTAGGTTGTCACTTGTGTCAAAGACCGCATTCTTCTTCTTCTTCCTTTCTCTTTTAATTGCAATTATATATATATATATATATATATATATATATATATGTGTGTGTGTGTGTGTATCAACTTAATGAAAATTTTTGTTGTGAAATATAATTGATCCTGTCATAATTAATGAACGTCACGTCATGTGTTACAAAGCATAAGGATATAGAAAATACGTATGCATACACTCAACTCTGTTGTTGCGTCCAATCATTTTAAGATCACCGTTTTTCTATTGGTAGTTCTAAAAACATAGAATTTTGGAGTGTGTGTATATATATTTTTCAATAAAAGAAAAATGGATAAATTTCGGGATTTTAAATTAAGTTATTGGAATTTTACCCACAACAGATCGTCGACGAGTGGTCAGTTTGGGGTATGAGGTAACTCCACCTTGATGTTGAGTGTTCGATTCCTGTCTGGTGGTGAGGGAAGTAATTTCTGGGTTTATATGATCCATATACAAAAACTGCTCCCGGACCGGAGGTTTACCTAGTCAGCGCGTCCGAAGTGTAGCATATATGTCTGTGTGTGCCGATATGTATGCATAGTAATAAATTTTGTGACAAAATAATTACAACATTAATTTCGCTCGGCAGCGCCTTTTCCATCTCTAATTATTGGGATTTTCCACATTTTAAATTCACAATTTTTTACTGCACAAATTTTTATTTGAACCAGGAAAAAAAATCCAATTTATAACCCTTTATTTTGCCATCTAACCCTTTTTTTGGTGTTGTTACAAATAAGCTATAAATAACAAATATTAAGGTGTTGAATGGGAGGTGGATTTCGGAGTTTTTTTATTTCAAAAAGTGAAAAAATCGATAATCAAGTTTTTTGAAATTTGGTTTTTTTAAAAACCCAGAAATCTACTTTATGAAAAAAATCAACTAAAAACTAAAAGCCACCTTTTTTTTAGATTTATAAACTTTCATAAACTAAAAGCCAAAAACCAAAAACTAAAAACCAAAAACAAAAAACTAAAGCCAAAAACCCAAAATAAAAACCAATACCATTCAAAGCCTAAATAATTCGATTTTCATGTAAGTATTCTTCCTTCGTATTTTATCACATTATTCATCATTTGGAAAATAATAAAAGGATATTAATCAACGGAACTTGCAATTTCTATTCTATATATGATTATTTCAAGGCATTAATGTTAAACGGCATTTGTGTGACCAATATGAGAGCTTCCACCCAACACTGGGTGGCCCAGTGGCGAAGAGGTGACAAAGTCATCATCGACGTCTTGGATTCGAATCCACTGGTGGGGAGGAGGGGGCGCAATTAATTGCGTGTCTAAAGGTTGACTCCGGACCCAGGGAATTAAGTGGGCCGAAGGGCCAACGAACCTCAAAAAATATGAGAGCTTCCACCGATTCCCAAAATTTTCGTTTCTAATTATTGAAATTCAAAAAAATCTAATTACGAGTATTTTCTTCACTGAAATGAACACAAAATATCAACACAAATCAAACCTCCGAAGGACGTGAATGCGCCTGACAGTTTCGAAGAATATATATATATATATATATATATATATATATATATATATGCATGCATGTATGTACGTATGCATGCATGTATGTACGTACGTATGTGTGCATGCATGTATGTACGTACGTATGTGTGCATGCATGTATGTATGTATGTATGCATGCATGTATGCATGTATGTATAAGCCTTGAGATGAGTCATGAAGCACAAATGGAGCGTGTTAAGTGCAAGGACCATGATGATGATGATATTCCTCATTGTCATATATATTAATTAGATATTTCTCAATCTCTCCATAAATCCCACCTAACTGTATGCCCCGAACCATTCCATCATATTAATTGTATTTTTTTTCCTTAAAAAGTTCATCAATTTTGGCACTTGTTTTAAGATTTATATAGAGGGACGGCCGTGGACCTAACTGGCTTCTCCTTCCACGCACATTTAAATTTGAACGACAAATCCATAACCCTATGTCCCTATAACAATATATATATATATATACATGATGTTTGAAATATATATGCAACTACCTACGTTATTAATAATTAATGCATTACACGTCAGGCAAATAATATACTAATAAACTTACAAAAAGCACAAACGATATAATCATTTTTCTTTTTGTTATACATATCTAGCTTAATATAATATGTTCATGCATTGCAATTTGCAACTTTCTCGTGCATAAGTAAGTGTATATTTAATAATATTTCACTTTTTGGCCCCGACAAATATCCCCGTGGTTTGTCGGTTATTACGCAGAGTCGAAAGTTTACTGTACGAGATACCGTCCGACCCGCGAAGAACCGAGATGGGTCCCACCGTTATAAAAAAAATCTCCGCGTGTGAACTCCTTCGGGGCCAAATCAGCTGGTTGGGAGCAGGGGGCAACTCCTTGAGGTGGAGGAATCGAACCCTGCCGTCTCCCTTCCTCTGACATGCTCGCCTGTCAGCCTATCATAATGGGTTGATTTACCTCCTACGCGTGTGTTGTAGGCTCGTGCGCATGGGCTTGGGGTTTGACCCGCAGGCGCCTAAGCCCAACTACGGCCCGAGCGTTAGGCGCGCCTGGTGGCCAAGTCCGATCGGTGACTGTTAGGCACGGGTGATAACCAGTTCGTTTCCGTTTCTAAGGGTAGGTAGTCACGGGATTCCCCAATGTATCAAAAAAAAAATATCCGCGTGTGCATATTATTTTTTTTTGTTGATTCGATCAAATAATTGTGTCAGTTATTTAATTAAATTTGGGTAAATCAGGATACAAAAAATATGTATCATACACTTTGAAGAAGCCTATTGGTGGAAACGAGGGCGATGTAGAATTCAGCACGTCACACTGAGATCATTTTTTTTATGGCGACACTTTTACCGCCATCATTGCCTTCCACGTAAACTGAAACACAGACACATATATATACACACGCTCTAATATATGTATGTATACGTATATATATGTGTTTGTTTATACTATAAATAAATGGTTTTTTTTAATCTTTACTTGGGATAAGATTATGATCGAAGTGGGTAGTTTTTTTCATTAAAAATGAAAATTCAGTGAATGCATGAAAAAAAAAGAGAGGGGGGAGTTTCTTTTTTGAAAGGGAACATACTAAACTTAAGGGACAAGACAAAAGACAAAGGGAGAATCTATTGGTGAAGCAAAAGCCCCTCTAACGGTCCAATATTGTACGGATTATTAAATGGAATAGGAAATTATAGGGGCTCATTGCATGTTTTGTGTTGGATTCGTTTCGATTATTTTGGTTATAGAAAAATTATAACCATTCGATTTTTATATAAATTTCGGTTTAGTTCGTTTCGATTCGATTTCGGTTAAAAATTCATTTTCTTAAAAAAAATTATCGGTTTTTTCAGTTATTTTTTTATTCGGTTCGGTTATAATGTCGGGTTTAAAAAAATCATTACCGTTCGGTTTTGATGTCGGATTCGATTCAGATACAATTATATCTTATTCGGTTCGATTATTCGGTTAATAACCGAAATGACCACCCTGGGTAGAACTATTGGAATAGTTCTATTTAGTTATTTATTTTAAAAATAAAAGGGTCTAAGTGGAACGTCAGAATGTTTCATTCGTCTTAAATTTAAGCAAAATCATGGGAAACACATATAAACATATGTGGTTATATAAATTAGAAAAGGTTTGGGGGATATATATTATATTATAATATATTATATTAGACATGATATGATATGTATAAAATAAACAGGACAATGATTAAGGTGCTCAAAAGCCCATTTGTTGCAGCATTTCTAACACTCCAAAACCAGTGACCAAGTGACATCAACTGCATCATGCATTGTCATTTTATGTATAAGCAAACATGTGTGTACATATATATATATGTATACATATGCACACAAATCACGCATGGAAACAGAAACAATAATATGTACAGACCACATATGTATATTATTATTTTTTAAAATTTTGTTCGTTGGATCCATTGGTAAAATATATTAATGGGCCATGAATTGTCTACCATTCCATATAACCACCACCCTTTTGTGATAAGTTGTTTTCCCGATGGCCTATGTATATATATTAGCATATAATTCCGATTGTGATTTATTTGTCTTTTTCTTTTTGTGTTTCATCTCTCCCCTCAGACAATTTTGGTGGGACATTATCATTATTATTGATGTGAATGTATAAGCTCATATATATATATATATATATAGTACCCGGGGGATGGTGGAGTTGTCGAAATCTTCGATATAATTTACATATGGTTTGACATTACATAGTCGTACGAATTAAGTTTTGGACTAAGATACGAAACCTATTAATAAATTGTATAAATTCAATGGATGAACGTGTTACAATAATTCACAATTCAATTATGAAGTTATAACCATATCGGGCTTGGATCAAGCTTATGGTACAAACCAATAACGGGCTTATACAGAAAATAATATATATGTGATTATCCGTTTTGTATTTAAAATTTATACTTTAACTAATATATATGTTGCGCAATATCATCCATCATAGATTTTTTTTTTTGTTTCAACCTTGTAATTGTGTAAATATGTACATCTGATTATATTGCTAATATACGAATAAAATTTAACCACATATATGTAATTCAATATATATATATATATATATATATATATATAACAATTTAGGATTTCTTATGGTGATTTTTTTTTGTTTTATTACTATATATATACACACATATGGGCCGGGAAATGGATAAAATCATTAAATTGATTCGAGCTCATCATCATCCTTGATGGGCTATGACCTAGTTTTATATGTTTTATTATATTTACCCTGAAAGGCCCATTTGGATCATTTGGCCCACAAAACAAATTATGATATTCTTTCATTTTTTTTTCCAAATAATAAAAATAATTTTAAAAAACACACTAAATCACACTAGGGGGATGGTGGGAAAATATTTTAATAATATATATCGATTCACATGTATGTGTACCTGGGAATACAGATATGCAAATATATACATACATATACATATATATATGTACAGCGAAAAACAAGAGCGTGAAGTGTATATTAGGAATCAGGAACTCGGAGGTGGTTAAGACGGTTGAACCAAATGGAGTGAAGAATCATATGGAACACATCGAATCTTCGAGGGTTGGGGCTCCATAGAAAATGCCTCTGAACCATCTTCACGTTGGCATGCATTCTCAGGTACCTCCTCAATGGAATCTTCAGCAGAATCTCCTTCAGCCTCGGAATGTCCTTTTCCGGCACCACCACCGAAAACTCCGACCAGTCGAGGACCTCGCTGAACGGCAGCACAAAGTTGTCCGCTATCACCACTGGCACACACTCGTAGTATATCGCCTCCACGATCCTCGGACTGTTCACCTCGTACCCCATCGGACACAGGCAGTACTTGCTCGCTTTCATGTGCTGCACGTACGTCATTTTCCGAGCAACGTTCCGCGGGAGTGGGCCGTAGATCTTCATGTCTTCGTCTCTGTTTCTCCAGTGCCGGAGGAGGTGGGGACGGACCCGGCCATGGAGGTTTCCGGCAAAGAAGGCGAGGATCGGTCGCTGGGAGACTCTGTTGCCATTGCCTATGAACCGGAGAGGCCTTCTCGGGTTTCTTATCGACGTCTCGGGAAGGGATACGTCTTTCCCAAGGGCGAAAATTCCGTCGGATAAATCTGCGTTGCATAGCACTTTTATGGCGTTTCGGGTTAGCTCTGGGTGCTCAGTCACCGTGTAAGGCCCCTGCCGGATAAGGGTTAATGCATATACATCAGTCGATTCCAAACTACTGATGTAGTAACAAATTCTTGCAGATCTTTTAGATATAACCAGTATATATATTTACCCAATCATGGCAGGCGACGATGAAATGATCTGATCCGTGTGTGCGGTTCCAGAAGGGGTATTTTGAGGTGATCATATCGACGTAGTCTCGGATAAAGATAGACATGGGCTTGATATTGTGCGAACCGGGAATGTACATTGCCTGCTGAAGCTGCTTCACACTGTAGGGCATGTAAAACAAGTGAGCTTTCTCGGGGTTCCTCGTGGCGAATCTCGTGTTCGCCTCCATTAGTTTCATGAACCATCCTTCCGACGCGTATATTCCCGACAAATGCGGTTCGTGGAAAACAGGTCTCTCACCGTCCGGGTAGATATACACCTTAAGTATCAACTCCATAAGCTCATAGCTCCTGAAACTCATGGTGAAAACCATTTATATATACCTTTTACTTGTTCTGTGAAAGGTCATCAACTGAAAGCAGAAAAATCAGGGGTTATACCTTGATGTATGTAATACCTTTTGAAAACAGATAGATTCCGGAAAACTGGCGCATACAGATCAGTGTCGTTTGCGATGGCCGGGGCATGCTGAATCTGCCTTCTGGCACACGCAAGCGCCTTCTCTGGTGGCAATGACAGAATTTGTCTCTGAATTCCAAATCACAGTTGTCAGCCCAATATTTATGCAAACGAATTCATGAAACTTATACAAGCTTAGTGACAATCTTATCTGACCTCTGTGGCAGTGAGTATACGTGGAAGGAGAGGCGGAGGATCGGGGAGAATGAGATCGTCTTTTATCTTCCTCCTCTTTCTTCTTTGCCTTCTCCTCTGAGATAGAGCACCACCTTCTTCATCTAGAGCTTTTTCTCGGCCAAATCCAGACGAAGAGGCATTCAATGGAGCTACGCCATGAAAAGGGTCGGCCTTAGTTTCATTGGCTACCTCACCTGTTATGAGCAAAGAGCCATTCAAGTATCTGGATAAGGTGACCCTCTCTTCGTCAGGCAAAATGGGAGAAGTCGGTGTTTGGCGCAGAACAACAATGGTGGTCATTACGGATCCGAAGAGGAACGCGTTTCTCCATTTGACCCTTTGCCTTCTAAAACGACTAATCAGTTTCTTCATCGAAACATCTATAACCCACTCAAATGGGGTTTTCATCTTCTGAAATTTCATCCTCGAAATTGAAATTGGAATTGGGTCTTTCCTGAAGAACGCTCCATCGCGAAAGAAAATCCAAAATTCACGTTTCTATTCCCCAGGAACCTCCAAATCCACAAACCCTAAGACACCGGACTCACGAGAGAGACGCTGAAACATCGATCAGGAGAGATCGAAATTGCAGCCGAGACGACGATCCGAACAAGAATCACAACAATAGAATCTGAGAATCCAACACAGAACAAGACATTGAAATTCAGGCAAATAGGTGAAGGAAAAGGAAGCTGCGCACATGCACGGATACGTGTGTATGGAGGGAAATAAAAAATGGAGAGTGAAGCTTGTAGTACCTTGATCATGGCGAATCTCGATCTAGACGAAACCATCTGAGATTAGAGAGAGAAAAGAGATTTGGAGGGAAACTCGGAAGAGAGAGAGAGAGAGACAGAGAGGGAGAGAGAGAGAGAGAGGATAACGGTAATGCAATATCTCTCCGTATTTATAGCTTTCCTTGCCGTAATTAACAGTATGGTTTTCTAATATTAGAATTAATTGGAGATTGATTTCCATCCCAACGCCCTGCAAGATGTACATCGCCCCACACAAACAGTCTTGGTAACATTATTGGATAGAAAAATGTTTATATATTTTAATTAGAATTATTGATTTTGATTTTTTTTTATATGTATGAATAAAAATATAATTCACTCTATTGTGGTGGGTCAAACGCTTCTAAATTAATAGGAAATATATAAATATTTTATAATATTTTTATAAAAAAAATATTTAAAACCGTGCGACCTCACCTCTCAATGCGTAATAATGGGCCTCGGCCCGGAATTCGAACGACGACGTTTGGGCTATAGTTTAAGGCTCTTGAATTGTCTCACCTTTATAAGTGCGGAAGCCCTCTAGAACGGAGAAAACCCTACCCTAGTTCTTTCTGCTCTGTGGAGCGTCGCGAAATGGGTAATTGATCTACCTCGATCTCCTTTATTTGTTCTTCGGTCGATGTATCTTTCCTTTCAGATCGACGCATTGTTTGTTGTTGGGATTTTCTAATGATGATTTGTTGATATAGTTTTTGGAAGACTGATTGGTTTTTATGAACCCTAGGGGCGTACAAGTACGTTTCGGAGCTATGGAGGAAGAAGCAGTCCGATGTCATGAGGTTTCTGCAGCGGGTGAGGTGTTGGGAGTACCGACAGCAGCCCTCCATTGTCCGTGTGACGAGACCGACTCGTCCTGACAAGGCTCGTCGCTTGGGCTACAAGGCGAAGCAGGTTAGTTTTCATGTCCTGGTCCTTTCGGGCTGTGTCGTATCCCATGGAATTCGATGGATCTCTCATCATATGTTTCGTCGTATAGAATGTTGAAGTTTCATTAGTCCCTTAATTTCTTATCAAATCGATTTTGGTTTCTTCGGATTTAGCATATGAACTAGCAGATGTCGAATTGATTTGTCATCGTTCTGTGGCTTTATTTTCGAATTCTGGATCTATGTGCTCTCTTAATGAAGTGTAGGCATTGGTTTGATGGGCCTTACCTGGTTTATTTTGCATCTTCGTATGTTCTCGGTTTGATTCATTTGTGTGAAACGTGATTGTACCTTCTCTTACTGGAGCCAAGATGTAGAAAATATAAAATTTGGGGTATGTGCTTGTAATGTGGTTTATTGAATATTCTTCTCCAGAATATATTGTGTTAATGATTGAATGCCTCACATTTCCAGCCACATGTCTGATCTTTTGGACTCGCTGAATCCAGCCCTTTTTCTAGCCCTTTTTCTGACTGGCAAATTTTCTACTTGTAACTTTTTCTATAACTATGTTGTTGTTAGGGATTTGTGGTGTACCGTATTCGGGTCAAACGTGGTGGAAGGAAGAGGCCGGTGCCAAAGGGTATTGTGTATGGAAAGCCCACGAACCAGGGAGTCACCCAACTTAAGTTCCAGCGAAGCAAGAGGTCAGTCGCTGAGGAGCGTGCTGGCCGCAAGTTGGGCGGTCTCAGAGTCCTCAACTCCTACTGGATCAACGAGGTCTGCACTTGCCCTCTCTATTTCGACAATGCATTTACATTTTCCTCTGTATCGTACCCAAAAAGAAAGCCTGGACATGATGACAGTAAGATGACCCGAGTCTTGGATGCGAAAAAGCATGTCACTTTCCTGTTTTTAAGTTCGCTTAGCAGAATGCATTGCTAATCAAACTGGAGAAAACCTTCATGATAGTGGCATGAAACCGTGGGTGTGTTTTTGTGATCATGACAGGATTCGACGTACAAGTATTATGAGGTAATATTGGTAGATGTGGCTCACAAGGCGGTGAGGAATGACCCGAGGATGAACTGGATATGCAACCCCGTTCACAAACACCGTGAGCTTCGTGGTCTTACCTCAGAGGGAAAGAAGAACAGAGGTCTCCGTGGAAAGGGCCATCTCTACCATAAGAACCGTCCTTCTCGCAGGGCTACCTGGAAGAGAAACAACTCCCTCTCCCTCCGTCGTTACCGTTGATTCTCTCTTCTTGTTCTCTCCTCTAAGGTTCGTTGCCCTTTTTTTTCATCGTCTTTTGTCTTTCTTGAATTGGAAATTTTGAAGATTGTGACGGTTTTTTTACATTCTCGCGACCGGAGATGTCTCGGACAGTTGCTAGATTTATATTGTATTCTCATCTCCCGCTTCATATGTTTTATTTTGGAGTTTATATTTTTGGATCCGTGTTGTCTTTTATGAAATGATTCGGACCATTGCAGCGAACTATGGATGGATCATGGATTCAATGAATTTATCTATCAAGATTTGTCGTTGTTCCGTACTGTAGTTGTGTTTTAAAGCCATGAAAGTTTACCCGTTACGGCGTCTATGGCCACTATTGGGCCTTATTCGTATCAAGTGAGAACCGATAATGGGCCTCTTTGTTGGGCCTGGGCCTTGTGGACTTCCAGTTTATTGGACGATTATATGGGTTTTAGGAATTGTGTTTTTTGATCGTCTAATTTAGTCCCATAGTAAGCCGTCTGTTAGTTAAAATTAGTTTAATGTAAAATTAATTGTGCACTTAATAAAGGCTAAATTCATGTATTTTGAAAAAAAAATATGAGCGGTGCAGGTTTACTAAACGTTAACACAAGTATTGGCTTCGTCTTCCCCACCGCAGCCCTAAACCCACCGAACCCGTGGTTTCTCTGCAACTCGAGAATCCGCTACCGCCATGAAATCTCGATTTCCGCAAAATGTCCCTATGTTCTCTCACTGTTCGCGTTTCTTCCATCCCCGTACTCATCGACGAGCCTTTACCTCCTTCCTTAAGAACATCCATTCCAACTCCCAACTTCGCGCTTCTTCCATCACCGGAGGCAGCGGGGAAAACGGCGGTGGTGGTTCTAAGGGTAGCTTCTCCGTGATTACCGAAGTTCGCTTCTCGATTTTGTAGATTTCGCGTTCTCGAGTAGAATTTCTGAGAGAATTGTTAAATTGCTTGTTCCGAATCGTTCCGCTAGTCTTGTAGATTCTTTATTTGCAAGAAAGCTGCCGGGTGAACTCCCCTGGGGATTTCGGATCGCGAACGTTTCCCTTAGTACTCGGCATGACTTGGAACTGTGTTACGATAGGGTTTTGCATTTTCGCTCTCGACGCTTGTATACCTTCTAGTTCTACGTTCGATTAACATTAACATATCCACGCTTTGATGTGAAGGGAATGCACTTCTTTTGCCCGGAGCAACTGTGGCCACCATCCTTATGCTGGGGGCTCTCCATGCCCGTCGCCTATACGAGGACAAGAAGGTATGCACGGTTAAACATCAGAACAAGTGAGCTTGACAGCTAAAATCTTTGCTTGTTTGTTGGTGTTGATAGTAGATTCCTCGGCCTTGGTTTTTTTTCCTGTGATCTTCAAATCTCTGTTGTTTCTCAAATGTATTGTTGTTGATGAACAGATTGAAGAGAAACGAGGAAAAGGAATTGAACTTGAGTTCCAACCAGACGTTAAAGTTAGCCCCCTTCCTTTGTCTCTCGGTATGCTTTATGATTTGGTTCCCTAACTGTCATTTCCAGAGTTTTAATGTGGACGCTGTGCTTTTCCAGGCCTCATTCCTCCGGATCCTACCTCTGCGAACCATCTCAAGAATGTGGGGCTCCTTTACAAGAGTGGTGAGTTTCCTTTGTTGAGGGGACTGCTGCTGGATTAGTCCTTTCTGTTGATTTCCGGGCTTAATTTCACTTGTTAGCCGTTCTTCTCAGGAAATTCCTGTCTGGATGCGTCCGTATGTGTATAAAGCATGGGCTCGAGCTTTCCATTCAAGTATGACCACTTGTTCTCGTACCCATTCCCCTCTAGTTTCTTGTTGTCATACCTTTTCTCTATTTCTTGTTGGATCTACATCCTTCTGTTTCTTTGTTTTGTGCTGAACTTATACAAATGAAACTAAAAGAGTTAACGCCAAACTGATCTACATCACAGACCTTGACGAAGTAGCTCTGCCTCTTGAAGAATACCCATCTCTTTGGGATTTCTTTATTCGCAGCTTGAAAGGAGGTTGCAGGCCTATTGATCAAGATCCCCATTGTCTGGTAACCGGTAACAAGCATCTTGAGCTGTCTCTTGACTGAACATGTTTTCACTCTTAAGATTTCACTGATTGGCTATGGATGCGAATTATAACCAGATTAGTCCTGTGGACGGCACCATACTAAGGTTTGGGGAGTTGAAAGGGGATGGGGCAATGATCGAGCAAGTTAAAGGGCATTCTTATTCTCTAACAGCTCTTCTTGGTGCGAGCTCTTTGCTTCCCTTGGCGTCTGAATGTAGAGATGAGAGGCAAGAGGGTACTGTTGGAGAGAAGAGTGATAAGTCATGGTGGAGAATCTCTTTGGCATCTCCCAAACTACAGGAGACTATCTCAGTGCGGTAGGTGAAGCTCATGGAATTCCAAAGAAAGTGAGAATGTAGTGTAGAAAAAATTTAGTAAACTTGAGGGTAGGGCAAATATAATCCTAGGGCATCTTACTTATTTGGAATCTGGTTATAGGAATTCAATAAGAATAAAGAGATATGTTTCACAGGATAACATTATGATGGATGTTCTATTGGGAACACCTTTTAAGTATTTGAATCAGTGAAAAGTAAGCTGGAGTAATACAGAAATTGCCCTTGCGTATTTAATCCTGTTCTGCCATTTGTTTATGTTCTTCTCTGAGCTATTATTGCCTTTTACCTGCAGTCCAATGAGTGGGCTTTATTATTGCGTAATATACCTGAGACCAGGGGATTATCATCGGATACACTCACCAGCTGACTGGAAGGCCATGGTTCGCCGGCACTTTGCAGGTTTGCTTACTATCCTGTTCTAGGAAGCCTATTCAAGCTATACCCTATCTATGTACATGATGCTATTCAGAACTAATCTATCTAAGACTACCAATGATGACAGGTCGGCTGTTTCCTGTGAACGAGCGTGCTACAAGAACTATAAGGAATCTCTATGTCGAAAACGAAAGGGTAACAACAACTATAAGAACTCTCTCATTGTCTCCGATTTTTTTTTTTATTTAAAAAAGAAATAATATGTGTAGTATGAGTCGTAATAGCTTAAAAGCTTGATATGAAAAACTAAGGTAAAAGGGTAATATGTGTAATCAGGTGGTGCTTGAGGGGCTTTGGCAAGAGGGTTATATGGCACTTGCAGCGATTGGGGCGACGAACATTGGGTCTATTGAGGTAAGAGTGTGGAAAAGGATATGTGAGAAATGTCGACTAGATAGACAAAAACCAGACCAAAGACAACTGAGAGGTTTATATCTGTTGGCTAACATGGTGTGGTGGGGCAGATATTCATAGAAAGGGAACTGAGAACGAACGAGCCAAGGAAGAAGCTGTTTCCTGCAGAGCCGCCGGAGGAGAGAGTGTACAACCCTGAAAGAGGAGGAATAGTGCTAAAGAGAGGGGAGGAGGTGAGTCTGTTTGTTGAAATTTCATCGAATAGGGTTGTGGAGGTTGTTGGGTGTGAAGAAGGAACGGTTGGTACATGATGCGCAGGTAGGAGGATTCGGCATGGGGTCCACAGTGGTGGTTGTTTTCCAGGCCTCCTCTCAGTTCGGGTTCTGCGTGGGACGCGGAGACAGAGTTCGTGTCGGACAACCTCTGGGACGGCATGGCAGTGATTGATCGTATGCTTTCCCCACATCACAACAAGGTCACTTCTATGCCCTCTCTCTCTCTCTCTCTCTCTCTCTCTCTGTGGTTGGATTTTATTTAAGATCCCTAATCTCCGCATTCTTCGTATCTACGAGAGACATTATGGGCTAAAAAAGGGAAAAAGTAAAAAGTCTCGTATCGACACCTCCTCTCCTCCATTCGCGTACTAACATACATTGCAAATCCTAAAGGGCACTCAAAAATCAATGGTTTATGCTTATCATATGAAAGAGCGTAAAGCTTACACAAAGTCGATGCCGTTCAAATCTCGTGTCATTTTTGTTCTGAAACGGTTCAAGAATTTGGAGACACACACACACACGCACCCGCACACGCGCACGCGCACGCACACGCACACGCACACACACACACACACACACACACGTATATGCATCATGCCCCTAATATCTCCCCCACCCATCCATCTTCTTGTAGGCAAACAAACTACTGTGGTTCATCTAATGTCTCAAAAAATAATATCACTTGGCTCTTTCCTCCTCTAGTACCGATATACATCACCAAAGACAGTCAGACGAATAATACATAACCCAAGTTGAATAACCTAAGCAAAAAGGAACAATACAATTAGGAAAATGTACTCACTTTCCATGGAACAAGCAGAGGCACAGATTCACATTCATTCGTCTACGTATCCATGTCCATCTATCAGGCACTCAGTTGCACTCAAACCGAAGCCAATCCGCTCTCTATATCAAAACTTTGTTCCTGAAAAGGAGGAAAGATCGATCACTCTTATTAGCACTTTTACTGGCAAAAGATCATCCCTTTTTGTCCCCTAAACAACGCTTTTTATCCATCATGGTCTATACACCACCTGAATCCAATCCAAAAGCAGTGAGCTAACATCTCCAATTTCTAATCCTTAATCCCTTCGAGTCCGTCTTCTCCATTTCAAAAAGTGGGCAAAGCATAAAACATATCCTTCTTTCATGGACAATCATCAAACCTCTATAAACTAGGACTTCACAACACCAAAAGTCAACAAAATGACACAACGCTCGGTTCTAAGAAAACTGAAATACTATAATCACAGATAAACTTCTAGCCATGGATCTCTCTGTTGGGTAATGGGTTATCTAGCCCTGGATCTCTTTCCACATTTACTCTAACATATGCACCACCGTCCTGGGATTTTGATCACTCTTAATTCAATCCCGTCCAAAAATACCCACTGCACGAATTCTTGCTGATTTTTCCTAGAGTACAAAGCCAACCCTAGGACGATCCATAAACGCTGAATCTTTAGCAGATCAGACGAGAAAATGGGGGAAAAAAAGTGAGGAGAAAAAAGAAAAGGCACACCTACGTCTGTTTAGAGTAAGAAGAGGAGAAGGGGCCGCGCTTGTTGCGAAACATCATGTAACCGACGGGCAACACGACGCCCATCATCATCACCGCCGCCCACTGCACGAATTCTTGCTGATTTTTCCTAGAGTACAAAGCCAACCCTAGGACGATCCATAAACGCTGAATCTTTAGCAGATCAGACGAGAAAATGGGGGAAAAAAAGTGAGGAGAAAAAAGAAAAGGCACACCTACGTCTGTTTAGAGTAAGAAGAGGAGAAGGGGCCGCGCTTGTTGCGAAACATCATGTAACCGACGGGCAACACGACGCCCATCATCCCCCCCGCCGCTCCGATCAAGTACCGCAACGGACTCGGCGGTTCCACCTCCACCACCGTCCTAAACTGCAAATCCGCCGGGAAAATTCCGAATCACAGAAAGGAACAAAAGAGGCGGAGAAGAGAGAACACAAACAAGATCTTAGGGGTCCAGAAAGAGAAAATCGATCCAGATAAAACTCACAGGCATTGTGCCGGCGAGAGAGAACACAAACAGTGCGCCGGAGAAGGGAAGTAGAACTGGGATCTGGACTTGTCTCCGGTGAGATTTCGTCGTCAGTTCTCTCCAGTATTTCCTATTTCAGCTTTAAATAAATACAGAATGGGTCGTCAGCCCAATTACTAAATTTGGGCTCAATTTCGGCCCGAATCTGACCCAGTTATCGAAATTATTTGTCATTTTTTTTTGTCTTTTTAACAATTTGCACTTTTATTTATAAAAAGAAAAACCAAAATCCCCAAAAAGGATAGACTTTTTTTTTTGTCTTTCGTTAAATGCCAAAGGGTAACCGTCTTTCCACGCGCTCTCGCTGTCCCCAAAAATGTATTTTTACGAAGAATCACCAAATCGCTGGACTATAACCTATCGATTTTTGCGAAACGCGCTCTACGCGCTAAGTCTGCGAGTGAGATTCGTGATCTCAATCGACGCGCGGGCTTTTCAAAACATTTCAGCATTAGACCCATTAACCATTAACATATTCCAATTAAGCCCATTAAAAGCCCATAATCAAGCTTAGGCCCAATATTTTCGCAATTACATTTTCATTTTTATTTTTTACATGATATTTGTCATCATCATCATCATCATCATCATCATAAATTTTGTGGTAATATTTCATATAGATTAAATAGTTTTTTTTAACGATTTTACTATAACCCAGGTGTGGGCTATCATTGTTGAATCATCTAACAAATTTTAAAATTTATTAGTTCAGTGTTGTTAAAATTCGTATAAAAATTCGAAATAAAATCGCAAAGTAATGCGAGGAACATTATCATCGATTGATGTGATAATTCACAGCACATGATGCATTACATCGATGCAGTGTCAGCGTAGCGACGAGTAAAACAATCATGGGCCTTAGAATTTTTTAAAATGGGCTTCCATATAATGCTTGTTGGGCTCAGGCCCATCGTATTTGAGCGCAAAGACAAAAGAAAATCCGGTAAATGGAAAAAAGGCGGGAAAATCTCCAAAGGGTAGACATGCCTGGCGTCCCCAAGGAGAGGTTCAAGGTTTTGGTGGAATGTGGTCGAGTTATGGTCATCGGCCAATCCCCTGCCGTCAGATTCGACTCCCATGGCCGATCCTACGGCTCTAACGTCGCCATGTTCTCCTCCCTCTCCGACATCCCCAGCCGCCGCATCAAAACCGTTGCCAAGAACGGCGTCCTTCGCCTCATCATCCCTCCCGACGTTTAAATCAATCCTCAGCTCATTTCCCATTAAAGTTGACAAGGTTTGGGCCGACGAGAAGGATTGGGCTCACTCGATTAAGATTAACAATGAATAATCTTATCCCACTCGCATCATTGGCGCGTGGATCTCACTCGCGCGTTTTCCCTGGACTATTATAACCCACGAATTCGGGGGTTTTCGTTGTTTTCGGAAAAAGATGGACTTCTAAGCGCGTGGGAGCGGGAGTCGCCTTTTTTTATTTTTAATTCACTTGAAACGAAAGAAAAGAATATATGAACTTGCACTATCCAGATGCATATACATTTTTTTGGTATCGTCCAGATGCATGTACATAAACATGATGGAACAACAACCAACATAACATAATAATAAGGGTTCTCCTCCAAGCGCCATGATAAAAATTGATATACGAAAGGCGTTTGACACTTTGTCTTGGGATTTTTTGATGCGGATATTGCAGGCTATTAATCTCCCACCACAATTTGTAAGTTGGATCAAGATGTGCATCACAACACCTAAGTTCTCGGTCAACATTAACGGAGAATTAGCGGGCTACTTCAAAGGAAGGAGAGGTTTGAGACAAGGTGACCCACTATCACCTTATCTCTTTATCCTTTCCATGGAAATTTTTTCAAGGATGCTAGATCAAGGAGCTTCCATCGATAGATTCAGCCCTCACCCTAAATGTCGACAACCTTCCATCACTCACCTCTCTTTTGCAGATGATGTAATGATTTTCTACTCTAGAGATATCCAATCCCTACGTGCAGCGTTAGACATTCTTGATCAATTTAGCACAGGCTCGGGACTAGCAATGAACACGAGCAAATCCGAGATTTTTCTAGGTGGCCTATAGCAAAATCAGGCAAAAAGTTTGGCTGCTACAATTGGACTAAAGTTGGGTACTTTACCTTGGAGTACCCCTTAATCCAACAAAGCTATCAAAGTCAGACTTCCAGCCTCTCTTGGAAAAGATCAAGAGTAAACTCACTGCTTGGAGCATTCGATACTTATCATACGTGGGACGTATCCAGCTGATCTCGACAGTCATCTACGGGCTAATTAACGCATGGAGTCAGATTTTTGCCCTTCCCAAATTCTTCCTTAAAGAGGTAGACAGTCTATGCTCAAGCTTCTTGTGGAAAGGCAGTCACCAAGCTTCCGGGTGTCACAGAATCTCTTGGGTAACCATCTGTATGCCGAAAACAGAGGGAGGGTTAGAACTACGACGCCTTGAGGACTTCAACTTGGTGTTCCGGCTAAAACTCATCTGGTTAATCTTTGCTAAAGGGGGGTCACTTTGGGTTGCTTGGATCAAGCAGAATGTCTTTAAATCCAACAACTTTTGGATATGTAAACCATCCAACAGATTGTCATGGATTCTTCGGAAACTCTTGAGCTTGAAAGAAACGGTCTGCAAATTCCTGAAAGTGAAGCTAGGCAACGGAAGAAATACTAGCTTTTGGTATGATCAATGGGCAGACACATAGGTCAGCTGATTACTCTTGCAGGTGATGAGAGGCCGAGGCTCTTAGGTATTCCGAAGAATGCAACTGTAGCTGAGGCAGCGCCGACAGGCATGTGGACATTCACAGGGGCTCGAACTGAGGCGATTCAGGAGCTCCAAATCGCACTCACTGCCATCAAACCCCCACTCGAGTCTGTAGGTGCAGATACGGTTCTGTGGAAGCATGACAATGACAAATATAAGCCTTGTTTCTCGTCGAGTAAAACCTGGCAACAAATTCGAATCCCAGGAACCAAGCCGAACTGGTTGGACGGTGTTTGGCTGCCCGTAACAACGCCAAGACTTTCCCTCCTCCACTGGCAAGTCATGCAAGGTCGACTTCCCACAAAGGACCGTCTATTGCGATGGGGAATTAATGTGGACGTCAACTGCTATCTCTGCGGTATGTTAGACGAAACTCATGCTCACCTATTTTATGATTGTCTAAGAACCATAGCTGATGCACGAACAAAGCTAGACCGTAGGATGATGACTCTGTTGATTTCTGACCAGCTGAACAAGAACTCTTCACAAAAGCATCTACTCGAGGATTGGTATTTCTTGACTGCAGGCCGACGTTAGATCACGTGCTCTATTATTTTGAAATCTATTTTGCCCACTTGCGTATGAGAATCCTAATATTTTGTACAGTTTTTTTTTTCTGTTGGTTAACAGATGTAAGAACCTTTCTTTCGGATTTTAATACACAATCACATTATAAAAAAAAACATAACATAATAATACACATACATGCCATGTACCATGACCGTGAATAGAACGAAAACACATGGACTTCATCAGGAAACATCTCTCGTATGTTTTCCTTACAACTATCTATGCAGCAAAAATAGGAGGAGAAAGACACTGTCTCATAGACTTTGAACAAGACAAACACATCCTGTTCTGAGTCTTAAGTCCCCTACTCCCTCTCTCTCTCTCTCTCTATATATATATATATATGTTAAACAATACTAGTTACTTTTTTTATTATAAAAAAACAAAAACTTGAGAAGAGAAGTGTATATAAGAGTGGGTATCATAGCTCGTCATGAAGGGGGGCATCATCAGGCCGTGATTCTTCTTCTCTAGCAGATCCATGTGTTTTATCATCATCACCGCCTTTTGGCTGTTGTCCCTCTTCTGTCTCCGCTGCTGCTTTTTCCTCTATCTTTGGCTTAGGCTTCGGCTTCGGCTTCGGCATCCTATCCACCTTCCCCACCTTATATAACATATTACCAATTCTACTTAAAGTTGCTCATAATTCATGCCTGCCTGCGAATTCAACAACTACTAGTGTGTTTTTTTTTATTATTATTTATTATTACCTCGTCTTGTAGATCGAATACTTTGGCATACACTTCATCCGATGTGAATGCAGGGTCTCTTGACAGAGGGGTCCTGTAATGAATCGTTGCATTATGAAGACAAAAAAAAAACGTGTTTTTTTAAACAATACGAGACCAAGTAGAGAAAGAAGCAAAACTCACTTCTGCTGCTCTCCCTCTTTCTCATCTAACCACCTCTTTAGTTTTTCTGCTTCCTTTGAGACCTGCCCACAACCCATCCAACAGTTTATTCATCAACCACTCAGATGCATGCATAGCTATCTTATTTGTATATATACGTAATAAAACAAGATAACGTTTTAGCTAACCTCCTCGATTCTTTCTTTTGGAAGCCAGGGTTTCTTCGTCGCCCAATC